GAGGGAATGATTCAAGATGAGTATATTATTAAATTTTTTTTTGTTCAATCGTGCCAGCCAATTTTATTTCCCAAACCTGTAAAAACTATTAAATATATAAGACTAAATTATAATAAATATTAGATATACTTAGTATGTTATCATTTTCAAACTTTAGGTAGATGTAACTTAGATAAAAACATGTATTAAAATAAAATATCATTCCCTCACTATTAGTGTCATTCCCTCACTTTTTAAATAGTTAAAATAATTAATTTACTTATTAATTAATTTGAAAAATAAATTAAAAAATTAATTTATTAAATTAATTAATTATTATAAATTAATTATTATAAATTAATTATTTAAAAAATTAATTAATTTAAATATTAACTATATTTTATAGGATATATACTTTCTTTATAATGCCATTACATATTTCTATTAATATAAAAAGTTTCAGAGCTTTTTATTCACTTTTTACTTTTTCGGGATTTTATGAACTGAAAAATGACAGTTTTCGTGAGAATGACCCATATATTAATATATATACCAAAAGTGATAACTTAAATTCGAAATTCACGCATCGTAATATCGTATTAAAAAAAAATTCTTACAAATCTTGCATAATTTCAAAGCAATCATCATTGAAAAGGCGATCGAGAAATAAAAAGTTCAGTGTGTTCAGAAACTATCTTGTGGGGTGCAGATTTCACACCCAATTTATGCTTTAAAAAGAAAAAGAACATAGCTAGGAGTACAGAAAAGTGTCCCTATAATCTCCTTTTCCTGAAAATAGTTGCTTTTTCAGCCTTTTTAGGCAAAAAAAGTTGCCATAGTCCACTCATGCATAGTTGCATTTTAGTTGCCCATGGCAACCCTGAATAAAATCTCACTAAACTAAATTATCTTGCAAAAGAAAAAACTAAAAATTGATTTATTTTATACAACTAATTAAGGAAGGTAACAGACATGACATTAATTTTCGGACAGTTGCATTTTATTAATTAAAAAATTACTCTTTCTATTTATTATAATACAGGGTGAGCCAGTCAAACCTGCATTTTTGAAATGACTGTAAAAAATAAACGGACGGATATTTCAAAATTGTATTGTTACTATCTTAATCTACATTAAAAAGCATTTAAGAAAAAACATTCACTGTTTAAAACAGTAAGATGGTGTCCTTCCCGATCGTGACATTCTTGTAGGCGATTTCTGAAACTGCCTACCACATCACGGAGCATACGCTGAGGAATTCTCTCAACACCACCCCTTCTGCTTCACCAATTGCTTCAAAGTTTTTCACCCACAATTTGATTGAATTAACAGACGGCATTGGCCTACTTCGATTCATTTGAAAATTCGTCCGGAAACGACACTGAGCGGCTGCATAACTACCACTTTGATAAAACACTTTCACAGCAAACGAACGTTGTTGTTTTGACCACTGCTCCATGGCGACTGAAATGCTTAGTTGTGGGAGACACAATGGCAGGGGTAATTGTGAGTCCAAGTCAAAATTCCGGAAAATTTCTTGGGTGAAAAAAAAGAAAAGATTAGAAAAAAATTTAAACAAGGTTTTTTCCTTTTTCTCAATATTTCTTAGTTTACTTAAAATATATTTAAAATTTTAAACATACCTATGATAACCTGGAGGAGTAATTGAAATTTACAAATATGTCTTTCTTTCTTGAGTTCATGATTATAAAAACTATTTACTGATAAAAAATGAATATTAATCTTGAATATAAGCTTATAAAGTATCAGGCTCTCCCTTACAAACAAATAAAATAAACTGTGTTTTCAAGTTCCACCTTTGAAAATTTGATTTCCGGAAATTTTTGTGATCAATGATTTTTTTTAAACATTTGAACCTTCGATCTCCGGAAACTTCCGGATCACTGTTAGCGAAAAATCCGGAAATCCGGATTTTTTCCGGAGCACAATCAGCCCTGCAATGGTAACCTTTGTAACTCGCTCCGCCCACTTTCACAGCTCTCACACCCTTTTCAAAAATGCAGGTTTGACTGGCTCACCATGTATTATCAGAATATAATTTTGACTATTTTACATAATTGCAAAATATGACAGGGTGGGAAGCTTGGTTAGTAGAATTGAATTAGTGTAATAACATTTTTGCATTTATGTTTTGGACAGCTGTATATTCAGTTTCCCTTTATTTAATTTCCACAAAATACCTATTAAATAATTAGGACATTAAAACGTTGTACTTCCTGTATTAGAAACTGTCTGTTAATAAATATGACACAAAGAAAAATCATTTAGTTTCTTAGAATTTCTAAAAAAAAAAAACTTTTCAGGCAAACAGCAAATGGCATCCAAATATGAAAATGACCCATATATACATAGATTAATATTTTAGAATATATTTTTTTACTTTTTTGGAGCATATTCAGTTCTGAACTTGTTATCTCGAAATTCGGGATACCTTGCAACTTTGAGATATCAAGAGTATGCAGGATATATATTCACAGTTGGTTAACAATCTAAGCTTTATATTTTTTTAACCTGAAAGCAGAAATTGTACATTTCAATTGTATACTTTAGACCTATCCTGGGAAACCTTTTTCAATTAGATTTTAAAAAATTAAATACGGAAATCATGTTCGAATTTGAAAAATATATTTCGCAATGTACCTTTAAAACCAGCTATAAATTGATTTTAAGAACAAAAGCAGGCAAAAAATTACCAACATAGATTTTTGTTTGAGTTTATTAAAATTTTCATTAAAATATTCATAACATTATCAACATCAGATAACTTGTGCGCAAAATGTCACAAACTTTAAAAACACCTTTTTTAACTTTAAAAATAGCGTATTTAATTTACATTTAATTACAGGGCAAGACTTTGCATTTTGGTAAGAACGTTGAATTAAATCTTCCATCATTTAGGTGAAAATGTACATAATAAATTAAGCATTCAGCGACGTCGATTAACAAAGTTCAACATTTTCTTTGTTTTAGACATCAATGGTGCAAGAGCTGCAAAGACAAAATAAACAATTAGAATCATAATTTTCTTAACATGGAAAATTATCACGAAAAGACTTCAGAATTGTTCATTCGCTAAGCATGAAGTTATTATCTTAGACACAAACGACAAGACATTACTAATCTCAACACAGAAACAATTATAAAAAAGCTCAGGGCAATATGGTAGTAGACTGTAAAAGGTGACATTTTTACATAAAACCTTTTTTTGGCATTGTTTCCAGATAAGCAAGTCACAAGTTTTTGGAGCTTCTACTGGGCAGCATGACAATACACAAACCTTTTTTTTTTTAACTCATTGTGTTTCTCCCATATCATTTTTCAAAAGTAACAATAAATAATAAAACAATTTGAAAATGTAGCTTATTAAAAGCTAGCATTATTGCTAATTTTATGCTAGTATTAAACATATTTACATAATGCATAAAATGTACATTTCTCTCCAAAGCATAATAAGTTATTATCGATAACTAAAACCAGATATTAATATTTTCTAGAGATATTATAAAAATTAGAAGAAATTGTTTGCAACAAATATTAAAAAAAAAAAAAAATATTAAAAATTTCATTAATTTTTATACAACAGCAAAAAAAAAAAGCAAGCAAATTTTTGTAAGGTTGTTTAAAAACAATTTTTCTAAAACATGTTTATATATATACATATAAACAATATTATTTTACCTATGTCACTCTAATTCCAAAAATTTATGGTAAAACATTAATTAATAAGTACAATTTTATCTTTTGCACTACAGTGGAACCACGATTTTACATTTTATGTCGGCAGAGTTCAACCTAGGTACTTAAAAAAGGGCAGGGTGCTTCCTCACAGAAAAGGGCACTTAGAGTTTTGAAGGGCACTCACTTACCACTATTAACATTTATTAAAATCTGTAATATTATGTAATAACTGAATTTGATCCACAACAATTTTAAATTACCCTCTTATACTATTTTATGTGTGTATTTTAATAAGTAATTCTGACCCCTTATCAAAATAAGAGAAAAATTTGTAGTTTATAAAAAATAATTAAAGGCATGTTAAAAGACAATCACTATGCCATTTTTTTCAAAAAAAGTAAACTAAAAAAAGTAATAAATAAATGATTCATTGATAAACATTTAAAGGTGTGTTTTTAAAAAAAAAAAAAAAAGGTTTTTATCTAAAAAATAATCTTAATATTTAAAAATCACTTAAAAAATTTATTAATATCCCCCCCAAAAAAAATAGAAATTCATAAAAAATTTAACAAGTTGAAGTAAATCCCAACAAAATAAAAATTTGTAATAACAATAAGAATTAAACCAATAAACAGAGATAATTTTACAGGAGCGCAATTATTAATAAAATAGTTAATTATTTTATCTTACATGGAATATGAATAAAAAGGCAGTGTTTTTATAACGGCTTATTATTATGAGAAAGGCAAAAAGGGCACATCAAAGGGAATGCAGGGTGGACTGCCCTTCTAAAAATGGTTAGGGGTAACACTGCTGTCAGATTAGCGTTAAAAAAAGCATGCAGCTGGAAAGCACAAAATGATAAAAAAATAAGCATAGTTTTTAAAAATAAACACGAGATATTAGAAAAAATTTGTGATCTTTACTTGTTTTAGATGCCATTTCATCCCTATCTCTCTTAGGGCTGGGTTAACCTAGTTGGTAGAACGTTGGACTCTTGTTTGAGAGAACAGGAGTTCAAATCCAGCCAGAAGAAGAGTCCCTGTATATTAAATTGTGAATTGCGCAAGTTAAATCTGGCGGGTCACGAAGTCCTCCAAGTTCTCAAAACAAATCAATACCTCTGGGGGTACTGATCTACAAGTTCCTTGTCTTCTGAATTGGGTTCAAATTTACAAGGCTCCACAGTTGAATATTGGTAGCCGTAAACTGAAATTCGGGTTGGCTATTCAACCACAGTTGTAAAATAAAATATGAAACTCTTGATCGTATAGCCTCCGATATTTTTTACTCGTCCTTGTCGTTTTCATTACTATCATTGTGAGCAGGTGTTAAATCAGATATTGAAGGAATTAAAAAAGTAATGGGGGTTTGTGTTGCAGCCAATATACGTGTCATCGATTTAGGAACATCTTCAGCCATGCTATTTAATTCTAGAATACTAATGCTACCTTTGGTTACTGAGAATCCTGCGTTATCAAACCCACTTGAAATTTAGATGACAATTTATTCATCACACTTATCCTTATTATTATTTTATGTTCCGAATTTACTTGACACCGTCCAACATTGATTAAATATAGTTCAAAGTTTGCAGTACATTTATATTTGCTTTAGAAGCGTCTTGCAGGTCACTAGAAGCTAGAAAAAGAAATGATTATCTAACCAGCTGTTTAGTGTAACATTCTTTGAATGCTTGGATAATTCCAAAGGTTGAGGTTAGCTGGAAAAAATCCCATTTGCAAATTTAACAACTTAAGCTTTCATCCTTTAATCACTCTTCCTGTGCTTTACCCATCTCAACATCACTTTTTTGATTTTATCTCAAGGAGTAATCCCCTCTCACAGATGAAAAGACAATAAGATAGAATAGAAAGAAAGTCAGAAAAGCTAATAAACAAGTGCCTTCCTTACAGAAAGAAAAAGAAAAGCAGAAGGAAAAAGTCGAAGAAGATAACATTGGAAGAACTAGGAAAAAATTGGTGCAAGCTTTGTAGGGCACAAATAATACTGATCTGTTAGAAAAACGTAATGAGGGATTTTCTTTAGAAGGATTATGTGAAATCCAGTATAATTTAACTGACATGGGCAATTTTCACAAACCAGTAGAAAATTATGCAGGAAACTGAATAGCATAAGGAACAGACAACGTAAATCCAAGATTCTGAGTGATAAAAGTTGTTTTGTTTTCTACATTTAGCAGCAGATGGCACTAAAAAATAAACATGTTAAGTCTATACTACTTTTTTAGTTCAAAGCGACAAAGTTCATCAGCGAGGTAGTTGAAAATTAGGAAAAAACAAACATCTAATATTTGCATTTCAAAGGGTACAGCAATAAAGAGCAAAACTCAGACAGCTATGCAAAAGAGATGGCCATGACAAATACCTGTAATTTGGCATGTATTGTGTGCCTACTCTGTAGAGGAAACTCTCTTAGCACTGAATGAAAGAGGCAATGAAATTGACTGTGCTGCTGAACTGCATCCTGAACCAATATCCACAATTGCAAATTACCAAAACCAAGCAAATACCATTCTCTCCTTAACCCTATTGCTACGAGGACCATACTTAGCTGGCATTCACGATGTCCTGACTAAACAAGCACTGTATGATATAGTTTGATAAGCGACGTAATTTACTTCAAACTGCAATTACCTAATATTCTATTGATCTATATTAAACTAATACCACTAAAAGCATATTTTGAAAAAGCTTAGTACATGTTTTGTAAATCATAGTTATTTATTTTTTTCCAGATTATAAAAGTGGTAGAAAAAAGCTAAAAAGAAAGTGCACAGTCTACAAGGCAAATAAATTTAAAAATCAGTGAATTTGTACATGGTTTAGATTAGCTCAAAACCAGATCTTTTAAATATTGCAAATATTCAAATGTGCAAAGAGAGAGTGAAATACTAAATGATTTTGTGTTAGAACACTGAGGGAGGTTTTTGTTTTAGTACCAAAGAATGTCCATTTTTGTAACTTTTGTAGTGTTAGTATTTTTTTTGCTATACCATAACTTCAGTTCTGTAAACAGAAACCTACCACAGCATTGAAATAAAAAATTATAATGCGTTCCAACTCCGAGGAAGACTTTTGTTTACAGGACCAAAACTACAGAAAGTTCATTTTTGTCCCTTTATTTGTGCTTAATTTTTGTTATTTGCCTTTATTCAAATTCCACCCCTATCCTCATTTGGAAAATCTAAATAATTTCTTTTTAAACTACTATTAAAACAAATGTGGTTTAAAACAAATTTCTTTCAAACTTAAAATAAAGATAAGCATGAATAAAAATATAATAATCATGAGCAACTTGTGGATATATAAAAAAAAATGTTCTACAAACACATCAAAAGTAATCTACAAAACATCATATTTTTCAATTAGTACATCAGACAATCATCATACCACTATATTCATGATATGAATATTAATGATGATAGCAAACAAAAACAAGAATAACTAAATCATTTAGGTCAAAACAATTAATTAAAATCAATAAATATAAAATCCCTATCTTAAAACCAATGTTAAGATTAAAAGGTTTTAGGTATAAATATATATCTTATCAGCTCTGAACAGAAAACATGTTTTAAGATCAGTTTAACAAAATTAAAAATCAATATGTAAAACCATTAAATTTTTTACTTAATAAATATTTAAAACTTAATTTCTTATAATAAATGAATTTTTACCAGGGCAAACTAAAACATTTTTTAAAAAAATCCACAAGCACAATATAAAGAAAGGCTAATGTATCTAATTGTATCTAGTGCAAAAGTCCGGTCTATTGTAATAATTCTGGGAGAAAAAAAACAACTAGATATTTAAAAACAAATATTAAATACGTACCTTCATTATCCATGAGGTCTGCATTTAAAGGAAATAAATATGAACTATTATATCAATAAAAACTATACAAATAATATATAATAATTAAAAATTGTTCCTTCTAATATACTGTAAAGAAATAACTAAAATGCTAAAGTTATATCAATAAAGGTGTCAGTACCTCCACATAATGGATAAATTTCTAAGAACATATGGGGCAAAAAATGGCCTGCCATGAAAAGATGAAAATGTCAAGACATGAATGGTATGTACATTTAAAATACAATTTTTCTTATTTAACCACCTGAAATGCCTTTGGTTGTTGAGTAGCTGTGTAATATATTTTGAATGAATAATAAATAAAAAAAACTTACTTCAAAATTAAATATTTAAGATAATTGTACTATTAGAATAAAAATTTCAAAAGATCTTTAACAGCCTGTAGTTATTAATTACATTAATACCCATTAATCATATCAATATCAATTATTAATATTTGGTAAATGAATTTTGCAATTTGATAATCGATTTTGTCACTGGTTTACTAAATAATAGCCTTATTTCTTTTTAACGTTGTCCAATTCATTATCTTATTATAAATTTAAAGAAAATCTAGAAAACAATAAAAATTTCAAAACTAAATAAATACTGATGAAATATCTTATATTTTCATTTATATTTTTTTTTTTCAGATTTATTATTATTATCTAAATTATTTTAGCTTAAGAATATATGTAATTACAGTTTAAACAAATATTTGATTTAGTGAAAAATTTACATCAGTTGTATTTGCAGAAGTACTATGACTAGTTTTACCAAATCTATTTAAACTTAAGAATTTAACTTATTTTTTGGGGAAAAAAATTTCCTATTTAAATTACTTGGTATGAATCACTCCTGCAAAAACATAACTTATCTTAGAACAAAAATAAAAGAATCCTTTACTTTTTTTACTAGTCTTGGAGACTTGATTTTTGGGCAGACTAGTGGGTTTCTGGGCAGAATGCGGACTGTTTGAAGATGATGATTCAGACCCACTTCTCTTTTTAGTTGAAGACTTGTGGGTTGTACTTGAGCTGTTTCCTTTTCCATTAGCTTCTGGTTTAGGAATCTCTTCAACTCTAAGAATTTCAACTTTAGTACGGACCTCATCAACTTTGTTTTTTCTTTGTCGTTTCTCAGGATTGTTGGTGCCAACACCAACCCATTTTGCTTGTCGCTCTAAAATTAGAAAAATATACCTAAATTAGAAATTTTCAACCTTTTAGGTCACACATCTACTACATCAACACATCTTCCATACAATTATTGACATAGTTAGATAACATAGACACACGCACACAGAGATTCTAAATTTTGTGGATACTTTTTTTAAAAAAATATCTTTTGTAATATTATTAAAAAAAGCATTCACGGAAAAAACCATCTTTGTAATGAAAAATAAAATAAAGGTAGACGACAAAATAAACATAATTTATGCAAGGCAGAAGGTTGTTTAGTTGCATGCGTGCTGCTAGTGAGGAGAAAAGATATACCGCTCTTTTAGCTCAAAAATTAGTGGTTTCATTGTTAGCGTACATGCAAACAACTGGACACGACTATCGCTTTACAACGAAAATAAACAATTACAGTTACATTAAGAAATCCTTTAATGTAATTTCGTCTGTTAATAAGAATGAATTATAGTTGCCTAAGTTTCCCACAAAAAGTGAAATATCAATTTCGCAGTAAAAAATTAAGGATGCAAAATTATTAGTATTACTTTATTATGATAATTACTTAACACTAAACATACGAACACTTTACAATAAATATAACAACCGGTCTTTTGACAGGTTGTGGTATGTTTAGTGTTAATATGAATGCAGTTCTTTAAATTAATTTTTGCTTACAGTTATTTATATTAATCTTCTTCTATTCTCAATGTTAATGTGCATGTATATATTGTTTTTAGTCAGAAATAAATAAACATGTTAAATGTTTTTTTTTTTCGTTTTTGTAATGTAATAAAATCATTTAATAGTAAAAAAATATTATGAATCAGCAGTTATACCTTTGGATTGCATTCGCAGACACTTAATTTTTTTTAAAATTTCACTATGATTATAGATTTAAAATAAAATCATAATTAAAACTGTGTCACTTGACTTTTTTAAAAAATAACTGTTTTAAATCAACTGGAATTTTTTTGAGGAATTTTCAGGAATGTCATGGTTTGAATAACATTAATATATTTTATCAGACAATTTGGCTGGTAAAAATAAAAATAATTTAATCGAGTTTGAATAAAAATAACTGTTTAAAAATCAAACAAATCCCTTTCTTTATAAATCTTTTATTTATTTTTTTAAATCATTAATTTTGCGTACTGCGGTTTGGGCTCATTTGTAAAACCATTATTTATTTTGAAGTTATTAAGGTAAGGCCACTCCTTAACAAAAAAAAGAGAAAGTATTAACTAAGAATAATTCATTGATCGAAATACGTTTATTGCTCTATGATACAAAATAATAAAATCAGACATAAAAAAAAGAGCCAATGCTATTTAATTGCAATGTTATTCTTGGGAATAAATTACTACTTTAGTCTAATATAGATTACCCTGTTCTCTTAAAGACAGATAAAATACCGACATTCAAACCATAAATTGAGACAATTAATTGGTCAAGACAGATTTTTTATTATTATCAGTTCTTTTTGGATCAAATGTAAAGGAAGCATAAGATTGGACAGCCAAAATGGCGAACTTACCAGGATGAGTTTTGGACATTCCATTTGAGATGCTAGCTGCCAAATTTTTTAGCTTCGCTTCACGTAATGTTCGAGCCCTCTGTAGAACAGAAAAATTTAATTAATCTACAATGTATAGTAATAAGCAAATTGTACATGGTATAATTATTTACCACCAAAAATAGCTCTTAAAAGAGAATGCTTAGATTTTAGATTAAACAATGAGAAAGAATAATGCAAACAAATTGTTAACATGTAGTATATTCCATTGTCTAAGTTGAGCACCTATTTTTGATTACAAATTTCTAGTATGTTAGATGCAAAAGATAACCACTGTTGACAATTATTCCAATAGATGTCATGTCGTGTGAGGTCATACTAGACAGATAGCAAAATGAGGATTAAAATGTTATTGAAATTTTTTTTTTTTAAAAAAAGTGTGGAATTTCAAATACAATGGAGGGGAATGAAGACGATATTTTGTGGGATCCAGCAGATGAGGATAAAGTACAGTCCATTGTGAGAGTTGGATATATATGACGAAACTGCTAATGCTATTGAACCTGACAAAGATTTTCAGAAATATTTAAATTTGATGCTTTGTGGTAAATAATACATTAAAATACGTTGCTTTGTGGTTAAAATACATTATACCACTTATTTCCCTGAAACGACATTTATAGGAAAATATTTAATTTAAAATATAATTAAGAAAAACAAATTAAATTTTATCAAGCTTTTCAATTAACAGAAATTTAAACTTTTTTTTGCTAATTCATTGAATTTAAGCTGTGATTTTTATTACATATAAATTCAAAAAATGTAATTATTAAATTCATTTACATCTTTGTACACTAATCAATGCAATGCACAAAAAACAAGCTTTAAATGCATGAAATATCAAAAAACTACATAAAAAGTTTGTAAAATTTGTCCTTCAATTGAAAATAAATACAATACACAAATACAGTAAATACTCGACCTAGTTTAAGATATTTAGTTTTTCAGGAAGCTCAAGCTGCATACAAATTTTTAAAAATATAAAAAATTGACCTGTTATAAAAAAAGTAGTAAAACTATCTAGTTACCAATTTCATTATATAGATTGATTATACCAATTTCATTATATAGATTGATTATCCAATTGCATCGAATATAACTCTCCAATTTACAATGAAACCACTAAGAGTAAGTCTTTTAGAAAGAATTAAGTATAAAATAAAAATACTTAAAATTATACAACATTAAAAGTATACAGGAGGTAAAAGCAAGTCCTACCCAATAAACATCTTTCCATGCTTCTCCATTAAGACGCTTCTGATCACGAAACTCAGATTCACAGAATTTTTTCCAAAGGCAGTCAGTACGTCTCGAAATATGCTATACATTAAAAATATTATTAATCACATGCATAGATAAAAGTATCTTAAGTAAATTGAGAAAAAAAAATCTGTCCTTTAAAAATAGTCATTAAAAAAATAACATAATATAGAAATAATACAGGAATTTAATACAAATTAAAAGTGTTCATCCTGTATAAGTTTATTTAATATCAGATTAATTATATTTTGATTAGCTAACTTAGCTTAAGCAAATATTTAGAAAAATGAAGTTTAACACAAAAGACAACATACTTAATACATTTTATGTTAGCTAGAACAATTTTCTCTATCAATTTTATATTAACAATTTTCAACTTGAACAACTTTATTGAGTTTGAAAAAAAAGTACCTAAAAAAATTATGTATATTTTGCAAGAAAACTTACAGAAAAATAAGTTGAATGCAATTTCTTTACCAATGCATCAATCTATCCTTTTTTTGTTTGTTATAATTTAGTTTAACAATTATAAACAATGCAATGCATTCATATCATAACTATTAAATCATATTGTTTGACTTAAAGAGTGAGTGGGGAAAAAAATCAGCCAAGCATGATTGAATGTAATATTAACTCTAAATTTCAAAATAGTACAAAATATCTATTGGCACTGATGATAATAATGAAATGATCTTTTATATCTGTTAATTACATTACTTGCGCTCCTATCTTTTATTTTCCGGTTTTTTTAAAAGAATTTCATCCTTTTCTTTTAAATCAGTTGTTTGTTATTTTTTTCATTATTATTCCCCTCCTCCCTTTTTTTTCCATATGTCTATAATTTTCCTTTGTTTTATCTTCATTTTGAACTTATATATATATATATATATATATATATATATATATATACACACACACACATATATATATAGTTGAACTTGCTTACAGCAAGTGGAACAGAACAATAATATTTGTCAGTTATAATTGAGTGTTTGTAAAAAAAACATATAAAAAAATCATAAGAGTTCATACATGCTTGATAACTGATAAATGTAGTACTTAATTCATTTGTTTTTTATTTCTGTTGTTGTCCATTTATTTTCTGTATAATCTTGCTATTGTCTCTTTCTTGTGTTATTGTTCTTTTAATAAGAACTCTTGTTCCCAAAAATATTATCATTAGCTTAAAACACTTGCTTTAAAGAAAAGTTCATGCGTTTGCTAGACTTATGACTCATGATTAATTTTGAGTTTCCTTTGAAATATTTAACAATTTTTTCAATGAACAATATTGCTCGCAATGAAACATATTGCAATGAAAAATATTGTTCACTAAACCTAGAGTTTGTTCGCTGAACGTGAGCTTCGCTTCCATAAATATAGCATTATATCAGCCATGTCTATCCAATGTTTTTGCTAAATCTTAGTTCTCATTAAATCAGGGCATGTTTATAAGCGAGTTTGACTGTACATTTATCAAGCTCTATTAATCATTATTTCAGTATACAATAACATGCAGCAGGAACCATTTTGTGATAGTAAAGAGAGGTAAGCAGAGTGCAAGACATTTTAAAATCATTAAATTTAATACCATAACAATTACAAATCAATTTAAGCAAGAACAAAAATAAAATCGCAAGTATATTAATTTTAAAATAATTTAACTACATTTATTTTCTATATTTTTTTTTAAAAAATCAACTAGATATAGATTTAAATAGTTGTTTGGAATGACAATCACTGCCTGCAAATTAGTCTGCATAATTACATATATGTAGATACGTTTTCCAAGTGAATTTTTTCTCCATTTCAGGTCAAAAGCATTTTTTTCCTTTGATAAGAGGCGTACATTTGGTTGGTTTGCTTTCTCAAATGTTTTTGAAAAACAATCTTACCTTGCTATCAATCTTCAAAAGTAACAACTAAAAGATGTTTTGTAAACAACGACCCAATGTACACTGGCATAAAATATGCTGTATAAAAAACGTCAATGTGGTTTCTGGTACATTGAAAATAATTTTAACTAAGTTTAATCATATGCCTTTATTATAACCTTTGAACAAATAAAGTTTTCAACTCACCCGATTATGCTCTTCAATTTTGTGAAGTTTAGATGGACTGCATAATTTTAAAGCAGGCAACAGTAACTCAAAAGGCACATTTTGTCCAATTTTTAATCCTATAAGCATAGAAATAAAGCTTATCAGACAAGAAAACTGGAAACATTTTTTTTTCATTAAATAATAATTAAAAAACTGAACTTACCTAAAATATTTTTCTTTACTGATTCAAAGCACATAGCTTTCAATGGTTGTACTTCTAAAATTAGAAAAACATTCATAATATAAAAATGATCACATGAGGAAAATGACTTTCAGAACCAAAATTTATTCAACAAGGTTTCCACTTTACTTTTCAAGCTAAAAACTGTCAAACACAAACAAGTGAAGAACTTGCCAAATTCAATCCACATTATTACAATTCAACTAGTTTTAATTTCTTGAATTTAAAGTTTTTACAAGAAATAATAGGTTATTTTCTCATTTCAACTTAAAAGGCTACTTATTATTTATCGAATATTATAACTGGTCATTGGTTATTGCATAATATTATCCTGGTCTGGTCTAAAAGTAAATAAATTACTCTCTAACTTTCTTCACGCAAATTTAAATTAAAATTCCAGGATTTCCAGACGTACTTAAAGCACTGAAATAGCAATCAGAAAGAAAAAAAATTTAAATAAAAAAGAATTTCAGATAAACTTGAGCTATATACCTACAAATATGGAAAATAAATTTGTGTCAAAAATAATCCACCATTGCACCAACACATTTGATGATTTAAAGAAAACCTTATCTAGCAAAATCAAGGCTTAAAAGTTCTTAAAAAAATTAAAGTAATAAGAAACTAATATACCTAAAGCTGACTTTCTTCCTGAATAAACTACACTCCTTTCCTTTTTTGATGAAATAAAACCCATCGTAGAATCATCTAAGGAAATTGGAAGAAAATTTATTGGATTAATCATGTTTTTAATAAATAAATATAACATCAGATAAAAATTACACTCTCCTTACAAATAACCTAACTCTTTTAGAAACTGATCCAAGAAAGTTGTACTACAAAAAGAATTGAAAAGGTATTACTCTCAAGTATATATTAAGACCATTAAAATAAATTGGAAAACACCTGCCAAATATTAATTTAGATTTTAAAAAATTTGAATTGAACATAAAACCTATGATGTTACAAAATGCATCGAGATATAAAGAGAATCAAAATTTGTAAAGTCCTATTTAATGAATTTCATTAAAAATTATCTTAATATTTTTATTTATTAAAATATTGAGATGCAGGCATTTTTTAAATATGTTATTTGTCTAACACGGTTTTGGTTTAGTTTAATTGTTAATGTTACTCTAATAGTCCATGAGGAACAATCTTGTTTCATCATAATGGTCAAAAAACAATGCAGGCAAATGCATAAAATACCTTTTGTCAGAATGTAGTAACATAATCATCTAACCGATTTTCAGAAACTTAAGGTCTATTCCCATTGCATTTGCCAAATCGGTCTACTTAAATTGTACCAATAAGATTTTCAATATTCTGTTGCATATTTCATAAGAACTTTTATTTCGATGAAAAGTAAAAATTTAAAAGTTCACCTACAGCAAGCCCAGTTTACCTAATTTAATACTTATTTATTTTCCATTGTGTTAGTTTGTTTTAGGAAGGGAAACTTTTTAATAAACAATACATAATCATGCATGCAATTAAAAAGTAGACAAAAAATATAACAAACACAATAATTAATTCCTGAAAAAAAAAAAACAATTGTTAGTAACCTGGAAAAGTTAGAAAGAAAGAAAAAGTTGAAAACTCAAAGCTGATGAATTTTGAAGTTTTGAAAAAAAAAAAATCCCTTTTAAACACAAATATGTCATTGATGATTGCTTAATAGAGGTATAAAAACAATGAAACTTTGAGTTTTCTACTGGAATTAATTACACAACACTGAATAAATTGAATTCCATGCTGTGTTAACTACTCACCAATCACGTTGTTTTTCCCAGAGCAATCTGTTTTGGAAAGATGGGCTATCATTTCCGAGGAAGGCTTTAAAAACAAAAGTTATTCTTACATTATTAAATTACTTACTGCCACCTCAACAATACAGAACTTAAATGAATGCATACAAAATTTAACACATTTGCTGCCCATCTTAAACCAGTACTAGAGTAGAAACCTGTACTGGTGAAAGATTGGCTGTGAAGGTGTTATTATTTAAAGAAATTATCTTTTATTAGTTTTATGTTTTTTTTTTTTTTTTTTTTTTTTTTTTTTTTTTTTTTTTTTTGGAATAGTTTAAAATGTTCCACAACTTGGAAAAAAATGCAATATTAATGCAAACATGAATTTAGAAACAGAGTTCTCCCTAGGAATAAAATAAGGCAGGGCACTTCACTAAAAAGGGCACTTTGAATTTTGAAAGGACACTCACTTAACACTGTAAAAATATATTAAAATGTGTAATATTATGTAATAACTGAATTTTATCTTCAACAATTATTAAATTACCATTTTATATTATTTAATGTGTATATTTCAAAAAGTAGTTCACTCATTATTAAAATAGAAAAATTTGTAGTTTATAAAAATAATTAAAGGCATGCTAAAAGGCATTCTTTGTGCATAATTTTTTCTTAAAAAAAGTAAACAAGCAAAAAATGATTAAATAATAAACTTGAAAGCTTTTTTCTATAATTTAAACTGAAAATCATTTTTAAAAAAATATTTATTTAAAAATAGCTTTAAAATTTAAAATCCCTAAAAATTTATACCTAATAAAATTAATACCAATAAAAATATATATATATCAAGATAACTTATAAAAATTTAACCAATTAATAATAATCCTAACAAAGTGAATATTTGTAATAGTAATCAGAATGAAACCTTTAAGCACAGATAGTTTTAACATAGTGTAATTATTATTTAAGCACTGAATTAATTTTTTTCAATATTGAATATGACTTATACTGTAGAAGTTATACTGAAATAATCATTTTTTAGAAAAAGGAAAAAGAGGGCAGATTTATTTGGATCAAAGGGTAAGCAGAGTAGGCCGTCTTTCGAAAAACACTTAGGGAGAACACTGTAGTAATATAAATTATGTGAAATAATTATTTAATTACATCTAAACTTTTCAGAATAAATAAGTGAAACAACATGTACAATTAAAACAAATAAATAAAAGAATAATAAAATTAATTAATAAAATATTATATTTGTCATAATAGTAAAAATATGACAAATAGACTTATATATATATACAATGTGCAGAAATGTCAGTAATTAGAAAAAGATATGTGTACAAGAATAAAAAATTATTTTGGTCAAGAAAGTAGAAAGCATTGGCCTATACGACTGACAAAAGGAACGCTTGAACAACAGAAAGTGCACCTGCCTTACAGGCTTCTGGCCACAAATAGTTTTTGAGCTATATCACATCTAGCTATGACTACTTTATTATGGCGAAAAACTGTACTTTATCGCAAGATTTATCGTGACTTAGGCTCTTGGCCAGAGTTAGTGGCCCAGTATCATACTGTAGGATTCCTAGAACATCTTCAATATGAAATAAACCAAAATGAAATTCATCATGTATCAGAGCAAAATATTTATCTAGTTTCATTTCTTAACTTTAAAATAAGCAATTGCTGTTACCTGAGACCTCATATATATATACACATCAAATACAGAAAAAGATGAAAACAAATACAAAAAGATATATTTAGAAATATTATAATTAAAAAACCTACCACATAAATTGGAGATTTTCTTTTCTCTGCAGGAGACACTGCAGTCCCAGCATGTTTGTCAAACTCCAGGTTCCTTCCAAAGTTTGGTGATTTTTTCACATCAGTATGTGAATATTTTGAGGACTTGGTCACTTTTTCACCCTGCATCGAATTATGTTTCATATGAGGGCTCAAATATTTTGGCGGGGCAACAGGGTTAGATTTACTTTTATCTTCAGCAGTAGCTTTTGAAGAATATTCTCTATTGCTCTTTGGGTCCCGACCATCTGAGACTTTGGTCTTTGATTTCTTTGGTGTAGGTGAACCTGATGTCTTTTCAAATTCAAGTCTTCTTTTGGACTTATGAACATCTTTATTGGCACTAGAGTTACTTTTATCCTTCGATGCTGAAGATGTTCTGGTAGATGGCAGAACAGAACTTCTCTGTTCAATGCTCCATCCCCAACTAAAACCACCATCTCTCAAGTCACCAGATCCGTAATTCTCAATGATATGAATCCGAAGTGTTTCGTGGTCTGGACCTTCCTTGACGGTTTTAAACATTCCTTCCCTCATCTCTATGGAATACGGATAACGTGGTTTTTCTGGAGTAGGGGTGGACGTCACAGGATTTGGGAAATTCACAGAAAGTGACTTGTCCTCATTGGAATTTTCCTCCTCCCCCCATGCTGAAGAGTTAGGACGGCTAAAAGATTCTTCAGGGTTAACCATTTTTTGACTAGAAGGTGAAGAATATCCATCTTTAGAGTTACCGTGTGAAACATAATTTAATGCAGGACTTATGTGATTCTGAGCTTGTACTGGTGATATGTATTTGGCGAAGGACCTTTTATCGAGATCAGTGCATCTTATGAGAGGAGCTGGTAATAAATTGCCCTCTGAACCATGAATTGGCACGTGACTAGAATCTCTTGATTGAGATTGGTTAATTTCTGAATGGCAGTAACCATTGGGCACATGATTGGTAGTTCTGTAATGATGACTATCGTGAGAGACACCATTCAGCTGCCTAACTTCAGATACATGAGAAAAGTAAGAAGGAGGGTGAGTATTCTCAACAGTTTTTCTCTTATCACTACAAAAAAAATCTAATTTTTTCTTGTGATTATGAGCAACTGTTTTATGAGTAGAGTCTCTGTTTTTAGTAGAAGTATGGCAATTCTGTACATCTCTGTCTAAATGAGTTTTAGAGTAATGCACAACAGTGGACATTTCTATGGTAGAATTTGTAGTATCTGAAGAAAGTTTCCTCGTGTAAGATGAGTCAGATGGCCGTATGTCTAATTTACGAGTAATTTTGTAGTCTTCTAAAAAAGGGCGGTTTGATTTGTCATCCATCCCACGCTTGCAAAGCATATCACTCATAGTGGGCACATTTTTCCTACTCTGTAAAAAATAAGGAAATATTATGATACTAAAAAAGAAACTAAGTATTACAAAAAGATTGATAAATAAAATTGATATGATGGAATTGATTAATTTTAAAAAAACTACAATGATTGATTGATTGAATGTTTAGTTTAATAAATAGAACCAAAGATGGATGTTCAAATGTAATTTTTTTTATTTTTTATTATTCATCAGATTCTGGGCTGTGTGCCATAAGGTCATTGATCTACATATTGTTCAGTTCTTTTTTACAAAATAATTAATAAGATAAAGCAGAACATTTTGGTTAAAAATCATTGTTGAAAAAAAAAATAAACATAAAAATTTATATTATAACAATTAGTAATAAAAGCATACATAACTAAGTATACATAAAAGAAATCAAAAATTTCTTATTTTTAACTTAATTACGCATAAAATTAGCAGCATAATGATTATTAAGCAAAATAACAGTATGCAACTTATTTTACAACATGTATAGATTAAAAATTAAGTTTATTGTATATATACTGTGTGCAACTCAAATGTTAAATTTTAGAAATACAAAAGTAAAAAAAAAATTAGCAGTTGTTTGGTAAATATAAAATGCTTATTTTTCTCCTTTTCGTTAACATAATTTAAAAAAAGATAAAATAAAGAATTTTAGTTACCACTTTTTGATGCTTTTATTTGGTCACTTGTCACTTTTTTTTGTTACCATTCCATCATAAATCCAATTTTCTGATTTAATCACACTTTGACAAGCATGAATATCAATAATCCACCGCAAATCCATGTTCTTAAAGCAATTCTTTATATTTTGGCCAACAATGTTTGGCAATATTTTTAATATATTACGACTTGAAATATTAAGACTTTTGCAATATTTTGAATTAGAGAAATCCCTTTCGGACACACTTCATTATTATTATTGTTTAAAATACCATTTTTTTACTAGCTGAATACCTAAAAAAATTAAAAAATGAGCATTGAACAACACTACGAAATTATGCACAAAACTGAGACACTTAATAAAGCTAAAGTAATTTCAAATATTTTTCTATACATATACATATTCCCTTTCACACCGAATTCGAGCAGAGGGTCTTTATCTCTCTCATCCATCTTTACATCTCTCTCAATTTGTGACCAGATAATTTTCTTTTTACTATTATTTGTCGCTTTTACAAGGGGCTTTAGGCTATTAAATTAAGAAAAGCAGAATTTTTATAGTATATATAATCAAATTAGAGAAAATTCCACCTTTTAACCTGATTTTAGAACACAAAAACGGGTCACTTTAAATAACAAAAAAAAATAATCATAATAAATAAGTAAAATAAAAAAAAGTATTTCCTACTAGCTGATATTTGCAAATGTAAATTTTACCCAATTTTCACAAAACTTAATTAAACCTTACTCCGGGTTTGGCATAACTGATATCTTGAACCACAATAGTGTTAAAAATTTGACTCACATTTTGCACAGAGCAAGACAATTATGGAAAATAAATTTCAGTTTTCAATAATTATAATTAATTACAAATTATATTTGTAGCATTAGTAAAAAATGTCAATTTCTCTTTTCTAACAGCAGATTTCTGTCAGAGCAAATGATTTTGGTTTCCTCTTAAATAAGTTAGCATAAACATGTGATAATTACAACAAAGTAAAATATTAATATAAGTCTTTTTATTCGTATATTATTGAAATTAAGTTATATTGTACCAAGAAACTGAGCTATAATCCACTTACTAATTCTTTGTTTATTGAAGTGAAACTTTTGTCTCTGCCTTCATTCTTTTGAGCAATTATTCTAGTTTCAGACCAATGGTGGTCATTTACCCTTTTAGAAGTCATTACATCAGAGGAAGATGATTTAGATATTTGACGACGGCTCTCATCGTAACGAGAGACATACTCAGTCTGAAAATATAAACCAATCGAAAAAGAAATTAAGTCAAAGTGAAAAAAATATTAATTTTCATTTTAATAGGGTGTGTAGCCAGATTTTGCAAAAAAAATAAGCACCTTTTAAGAAATCAAAAAGTATTTTTAATCACTTTCCAAAAAAAAAATCATAATTAGGACTTGTGCAGTAATAAAAATTATTTTTTTCTATCGTTTATAGTTCCTAATTGGTAAACATAAAATTTAGAAACATTTTAAAAAACTTAACATAATCATGATAAAATAACTAGTTTCGGATAAATATTTCAGAGAAAATTGTGAAAATCATGCCTTTTCTGTAATATAAAATGACAATCGATACAGCAAAGAAAAAATCTCTTTCTAAAATTAAGCACTTTTTACATACTCCGAATAAAAAAAGCACCTTTAAGGGCTTTTAAGAACGTAAATCAAAAATAAGCACCATTAAGCACTTTTTAAAAATGCTCCGCACCCTGTTTAATATAAAAAAAGTTTTTTTAAAAAAGTAATCATAATCAATAATTAATTTCACTTGAAACAACAACAAAAATTCTATCCCAATGACTTATTTTAAAAAAAAAAAAAAAGTTAGTTTATAAAAAAAATCTTTATTTTTTACATGCACTTGAAAATAAGGTGACACAATTAAACACTTTAGCATAAAACCAGAAAAGCAATACATTTGTAATTATATTAATATTACTACACACATTAATATTACTACACATATAAATATTACTACATAATTATATTAATCTTACAGTAAAAAATAATACATGCAAATACATGATTGAAAATTATTAAAACACTATTAACTGATGAAAAACAGGCTAAAATGAATAAATCACAAAATTAACTTCTGAGATATATCTTTCTGTTTATATATATTCTGTTGTATGATAAAATGTATTGTGTTATCTAAGACATTTACTTCAATTTCATAAATACTTAAACATAGAAAAACTTAACATTCATTGAAATTCAAATCACACATTCATTCAAATCACACTATTAGAAAAAAACAATCTGAATTTATCCTTATTTAACAATTTTCTTAATTTTAAATTGATGTGTGATTTTGATGCGTAAATTTTTGCATGATTTTAATCTTAGGAAAAAAATAAATTGGCGTACAAATAGAATAATTATCGTTGACAATTTTTAGTGACCTATATTTAGCAATAATTCTTCAACAAATTTACTTCAATTAAAAAACACAGAATCAGAAATGAAAAAAATACACTTTTGTTCAAAAGATTGATAAGAACTTAGATGACATGAAGTAGCTTTTAAAAATAACTTACCATTATGCTTCTTTCTTTTAGTCAGAATGTACTTTTCTAATACTACTGCTAACTGTGTGCGCCTAAAAACAAATTTACATTTAAAATATAAATCAGAATGCATTTTCAATTAACACATTCAAATAAAAAATTAGAACAACTATGCATATTAACAGTTAATTATGATGTTCTTAATACTTAGCCGAAATAGATTTTTTTTGTTTTTTCTATTAGAAAATTCTCATAGAACTCTGGTAAACCAAGAATGGTTGTTAATCAAATTTAACTTAGAACATGTATATACTTTTTTTATTCCTTTTCCCTCAAAAACTGATCTTTCGGGAAAATTCAAGGCTTATGCTAAACAAACAACCCAAATTGAACATCATGTTATTTGCAGTCTTTTACTACACACAGTGTCTCTTAATGACAAAATCTGCCAAACTTTTTTTCTAAATAAGAAAAGTATTTTAGTATTATTATTATTTAGAAGAAAATAAGCAAACAAGTATTGAGGTTACTGGGAATCGCATGGTCCATAATGGTAATGATAAAAGATTTATTATATGGTCCTAAGGTCTGACAAAATGTGCCAGGAAGGTTTCTTTCATTTCTTCCAGGTGGGTCTATTTGAAAACTTAAACTCTTTTTCATTTTACTGAATTCGATCAATTGTAAACTGTTGAGTCCGGGGTGGCCTGGTTTGTAGGGCATTGGACTTGTGTTTGTGACAATACCAATATAAGTATTTAATTTTTTTTAATGAAAATTTAATATTTTTTTTATTTATTCTAATACTATGGACCATATTCTCACAATTTGTAGAAGGAAAACACACTAATTATTTCCTTTTTGAATTTCGAAAATCATCATCCCATCAAAAAAAATTTTAAAACTGTGAAATCCATAGCATCAACTGCCGAAAAAAAAGATCGATGGCGAAATCCTGTGAATCGCATTCTTCAAAATGGGATATTAAATCGAAGGTTTCGAGATTCGGTTGTTGTAATAAATAATAATGTATTAAAAATATGGGATTTAAAAAACTGTGTGGAAATAAACTCCCCCCTTCCCCCCCAAAAAAACGATAGAATCATCGCTTAAAAAATTTAATATTCATATGCGCAATTCAAGTTTTTCATAGTGTCTGAAATATATTGGGATATTTAAAAGCCATTTGAAAATCAACATCAATAACAGTCAAAAATACAATCAGAACACCGCATGGATTTGCGATAATATCGGCATAAAGTGAGTGTATTTAAAAGTGATTTAAATGTGCAATTTAATTTTGATGAGTAGAAATAATATTAATTACGAAATAACCATAATTTAAAAAACTCTATGGAATTCGGTATCACTAACAACAAAAAGTTGAAAAAATGATGAAATCGCCACACTAAAAGTAAATAACTGTTTTGAGTTTCACATATAATTAAATTATGAAAAAAAACATAATGATTTTTTTTTTAAACGTGAAAATTTGTAGCAATAACAGTCAAAAGGATGATTGTAATACTGATTAACAAGAATGTCAGTGCAAAACGAATTTGTCAAAGAATGATTTCTGGAATCTATGATTTGAATTTCACATACCATATTAATATCGGTATATTTCAAAAAATCAATGGAATATAAATAGTAGGGTGACCTAGGGTAATTCCTGATCAAAAAATGCAAACATCTATTTTGTGAATAAACTATTCAAGATAGAGTTTTAATATTTACTGGAAGTTTGAGGTTATATGAGATGAGTCCTATGCTACCTTCTTTTGTTTGAAAATCTCATTAGAATTTAAAAGATTTTAAATTTTTAGTGATTAGGAATTACCCCTTCTCATGATCATTTCTGGGGTAATTACTGATCACCAGTTTTTATAGTAAAAGGGCTGTTTAAAAATAATTATACAATGGTAGTTAACAAATAAGACGTCAAGATCAAACAAATAAACCAAAGAGTTATGTTTAAGCAGTTATTAAAATGATTCATTTAAAAGCAAGAATAAAGATTAACACTTGAAATTTTCCAAAAATCTTTGCATTGTGCCCTGAATTTTAGGCAAGCAGCCAGTCATTCTAATGTTCTGCTGGAATATAAAAAAGAGTTCCCACATAGGTAACTTTTGCTGAATTTTTTAACTTTATTAAGTGAGAGTGTAAAGTTAAGTAAGGTATGTCAACAGCTCTGACAGCAGCTCTCACACTAAAATTTTCAATTTCAATCATTAAAAGCACTAAGTATGCTTTCTAGAAGCTAAGTATCCTTTTTAGGCTTATAATTTCTCACCATATTTATATCAGGCTAATGTATAAACTTACAAATTCTAACAATATACACACATAAAATTAAGATAGAAGCAAGGTAAGGCAAACCAGATATCGTGCAAATCAGAACACACTTGTCTTGTATACAGTTAAAAACAAATTTTGTGATTACACTTAAAATATATTTTATAGTTGTTCCACTTAATAAATATGAACTGTTATTTAAGAAAAGACAATTAGCTATTTATTAACTATTTTTTATACTGTTTATAAGAAAAAATGACAATGATCAGGA